ATTATTTTCTATGTGTTTGTATATAAATTGTTAATAAAATAACCTTTGATAAAAATGAAAGTTGTAACATTAAAGCTATGCATATAGGTGCTTATGTCCATATATTGAAACATAGAAAGGATAACATCCTTAAGTTATCAATTTTAAACACTTGATATACAATGTATATGCAGTTAGTTATATAGTAAAGTCTAATGGAACAGTATTTGTTACTGTAAGAGAATGCATTTAATGTTTAGACACTCACGCAACTCAATCTTTATTATATGATATAGACTATTTGAGATTTTTTTTTCTTTTATACTATACATTATAGTTTTCTTTCTACAAGATTATGAATTTCCATCCAAGTACCAATGCTAATAGGATGTTATATTTATTTCTAATGGAAACTGGGAATAATTAATGTTATGTGCATATATGTATATCTTAGTATATGGATATAATGTGACTCACAATATTTCTGTATTTAAAGACTTACAGTTATGATGGATGAGACTTGCATTTAAATTTATATAAAATGATATTAAAGAGGAAATGTGTAGCCCGCCGGATAGCTCAGTTGATCTTTTGACAGTCATGGGTTTGAGTCATGGTCAAGCAGTTTCAGTCAGGGTTTGGAAGTTGTTTTTCAACTGACACATGTTTGATTCATTTAACAGATTGTATTGAATTTGAAATGGACAAAGGCAGTATTGTATGCATGATATTTTTAGATCTACAAAAGGCATATGATACAGTTGATCACACTATACTGCACATGAAGAAGTTCTTCTTCTTCTTCTTCGTTTTCTTTTTCTTCTTCTTTTTTATTATTCTTCTTCTCCTTCTTATTATTCTTCTTCTTCATGAAACTTATAGCATTTGCCATAAGTAATGACATTCTTACATGGTTCAAGTCTTATTTCTGATGGACAGCAGCTGGTGGATGTGGCTGGTACTCATTATTTTACTGCTCCGAGTACCTATGGTGTTCCCCTGAGGTTCATTTTAGGTCCTCTTTTATGCCTTTTGTAGATCTAAAAGTATCATATATATACTCAAATATGACCACATAACGCCTATCTTACGTGAACTTCACTGGCTTCCGGTAGAGTATCGGGTCGAATATAAAATTTTGACTTGATAGACGTGTACATCCCAGTCAGGAATCTGAGGTCCCAGAATAACTCAATGACATTAGTTGTGCCTAAATCTCGGACAGTACGATATGGTGACGGGTGCTTCCAGACAGCTGCAGCGAAATTATGGAATGCGTTACCACCCGGCATTAGAGACTGTAATACATTGCCAAGTTTTAAGAGAGCTCTCAAAACACATTATTTCATAAGGTTCTATGGACGTTAGTTTAATAAAACAACATACAGGGGGCAGGGGACCTAAAAATGAAAAATTTTGTATTTCAGTGTGACCAGAAACACAATTCCAAATATTTCAAAATTTGTTTCACAGGCAGATAATCAGTTGCACAGCATTATTCAATGATATATGACATACATTGAAGAAAATAATAGTTTGCATGCATTGCTCCTTCAAAAAATGACTGACAGCAATTTATATTTACCCCCACCCAGCCAAAATCACACCTAAAATATACCAATATGGGCAATCTTCATGAAGGTGCAGCATACTCCAGAATCCGCCCGATTCCTTTAAAAATATCAGTAACACACAGTGCAAGCTATGGCATTTTCAGAAATGACCAATAAAGTGTCTGTCATACGTTTAGATTTTTCACAAAATTTATCTGAAATTTCTTACTTGTTTGGCGCCAACTGTCAAAGCTTGATTTTTAACTTTTTCACCTCCATTCGGAGAGTCAGAAATACATACAAAGCTACCAAAATGCTTAGTTTCGGGTAAAAACCCTCTATAATATTATATATATAAAATACTTCTCATTTCCTACACACAAACAAGAAAGAATTACAATGACAGAGAAATATCAGAAGTTATCAGTACCTCCAAAACACCATGTCTGAGTTATTAAAAAATTTGACTGGGGCCATCATTCGAATATGTCCCCTGCCCCCTACATGTACTACTTTTGCTATATTATCAGTGTAAATTGTGTCTTTGATTTTATGTCTTAGGGTTTTACTTTATAATTGGTTTCTTTTTTACTTTTGTTTGTTACTTTTTTAACAATCTTATTTCGTTCAAATCTTTTATAGGATTTTTTTTTGTTTAATTGAGCCTTGATTTTAAACTAAATGTGTCTGTATTTCATACCATCCTTTACTGGTTTTAGATTATCATTATTGTTTAAGAGGTTTATTTAATTAATATAGTACCTTATGTCTTATATATATATGATTATGTTTTATCAGATTTATGTAAAGCACTCTTGAACATTTATTATTTATGAAAAGAGTGCTATAGAAATGCAGTATATTATAATAATATTGAATAATCATGCATACAATACTGCCTTTGTCCATTTCAAATTCAAAACATGTCTGCAACCCTAAGCAATAAGCTTTTATTATATGCTGATGACTCAGGTATCCTTGTATCTGGTAAAATAAATCTGAAGAAATTCTCTCTTACGGCAAAACTCTAATTAGTGATAATGTTTATTGACTAAAAATTGTCTTTGCATCTTGGCAAGACAGGGTATATCCCTTTTGGTTTAAGTTTCAACTTAAACTAGGTCTAGCCTCCAGGTCACATGTAATGATACTTCTATAAGCGACAAGTACAAATGTTGCTGCAATGCAGCAATTGAGAAGCTCCGCGCAAAAAAATGTGCTCATTACAGATACCTTACCAAATTATTCCTACGCACAGGTCATGTTATATTCAGATTAAGTACTATTGTAGATTTTTTCCGAATGTTTTATAAACCATTTTTTGCATAATTATACTTATCTTATGCACTGTCCATAATTAAAAAGAGGTGAAAAATATTTGATATATGCTTTCACTGATGCCTACCTGGTAAGGAAAGTAATTCCATTGAATACAAACAAGGCTGATAAGACTTGTAAATGCTATGTGACATGACTGCACTGTGTTCTGTTTGTGTCACCACTGTAGTCAGTAACAGAAGATAGATGATAGAAATATCAAAGTCTGTTATAATTGTAACAAATATACAAATAGTAACAAAAGGGACTAATTGCCTTGATAAAAGAAGAGTATAAATAATATACCAAACATGATTTTGGTAAAAACAAAAGGGCATATAACTAAGAAAATAATAATCTTCTGACGCCAAATTGAATGAAAAGACCAAATAGATTTAAACTTCCTATGAGAGTTATAAAACACAGTGCATTGTTACATCGCATTGTTTTTATCGTATCCATCGATGTGCCATACGCCGCTTGGACCCGGACACGAATACTTCCTCTGCAGACGTCGCTTACGTTTTCTTCTTTTCATGTCATCTTGATGTGCTATCCGCATGAATCTTACAACCGTTGAACGATGTACATACATTTACCACTCCCAGATAGTTCTGCAAGAATTGCACGAAAAAATATCTTCATTATTCGATTCTACTGTTCGACTATGAAACACTAATTTCCTAACGATTACTTTTAAGTGACGATAACTAACTTTTATTCCATCAATCAACAGAAGACTAGCTAATATCTCCAACCGAGAAATAATGAACTATCAAATTCATCATCGTTTCTTTATTTACAATACGTTCTCCTATTGCCAATGCAGTCAACGCCATAGAAATAACACCAGCATCTGCAATTAGATAACAATACAATTACCTACTATATTATATCTTGTACACGCAAATGCAATTCTGACAAACAGATGCGCAGATTGAACCCTGATGAATATTTTAAAGAGTATCTAAAAAAACAACTTTTGGTTTAGACCCCGGTGTCCAATTCAGAATATAGGCAGATTTATGTGTTCTAGATCCCAAAATATTTTCTTTTTAAACCAACTAATATGAATAATTTTCCTACTAATACTTTTAACCTATTTATAATGAAAATAATGATATATTTAAAACTTATATAAGTAAAAAATCACTAACCATTTTTTTCACGCAACTTCTAAGCTATCCAATATGGCGACAAATGACGTCACGATCACGTGGCATATACCTTGAAGTTGAAATCTTGAAGCTGAAATCGTGAATTCGTGAAGTTGAAATCGTGAATTCATGAAGTTGAAATCGTGAATTCGTGAAGTTGAAATCGTGAATTCCTGAAGTTGAAATCGTGAATTCATGAAGTTGAAATCGTGAATTCACGAAGTTAAATTCGTGAAGTTAAAATCGTGAATTCATGAAGTTGAAATCGTGAATTCGTGAAGTTGAAATCGTGAATTCGTGAAGTTGAAATCGTGAATTCATGAAGTTGAAATCGTGAATTCGTGAAGTTGAATTCGTGAATTTATGAAGTTGAAATCGTGAATTCGTGAAGATGAAATCGTGAATTCATGAATTCCGTATGTTGAAAATGTGAATTCACGAAGTTAAACCAGCAGGCACATCAACGTTGTTTCAACGTTGAATTATGGTAAAATTTGGCACAACGTTGAAGTTTCAATGTCATTTCAACGTTGAAAACCCACCATACTTTAATTTTTGGATATAAAGCAAAGTAACCAAGTTTAACAAAATATCAAGACAATATTAAATACTTCAGATATTTTATTTCAAAAATACAGTTCAAGTGCAGCTTAAATTCATTTTAATAGTTTTAACAATTAAGCTACAATCTGTTCCAATCTTTTCTTCTAGATCTTTCTGGGTATGTCAAGTGTTTGAGTACTTCTTTTGCTGTCTCTTACTGCTTCTGAAAATAAAAATAAGAAGTTTGTAGTTAAAAGTGACTTGGTCAATCTCAAATTATACATATAATTACTCAACTTAGTGATTTGTTTTTATCTTAAAATGCTTTTCTCTAAGATTAACATCATAAAACAGCATAGAAATTGAAACATAGCTAAGTTTGATATTGACAGGAAATACTGTATATAAGACAACAAAATCTTTTTAAAAAGAAGCTATTTAAAAGTCTCACCTATGATTGGTTAAAAAAATGCTCCCCGTCAGTTCCTTGCAGCATATTTCCAAGTAATTAACATTCTAGGCTCTAGCTAAGACCATTTTATGCAGCATCCTGAAATCAACAAACATGTAAATTTTATATTAATAATGTTATGTACAGGAATATTCCGAAAAAAATATATTTTAAGACAAGATAAATATCCAGTAGTTGAAAAATTTATACTTTGTATTGTAAAGAAATTCAAATATATATAAATGAATAAGAATAAATTTCAATTTAACAAACCTGACAGTCCTTTTCATGTTGAATGTTTGGTGTACAGGCTACAGCTGCAATACTCTAAATTTCAGCTAGGACCAGGATCTAGAATATAAAATAATATATAATAAAATAGAAATAGATTTATTATTCCTCTTAAATATACGACTATTAAACTTTAAAGTTTAACGCTCAAATTTGTTATTTAACTTAATAATAATCATTATAATGTGTTTTTATCAAACAAATTAACACTGTATTATACTATCAATAAAATATAAACATAGTTATATATATTGACGAATCGTCTTGGGACGTAAATTAAGTGGGCCGAACTACTTTATAGGTTTCAATTTAAAAATTGATTAAATTCTAAATAGGATTTAGTACAGACAAATGTTTAATAATATGAAAAATAAATTAAAGAAAGACAAGATTTGTAAAATCATAAATTGCCAAGAACATCAATAACTTCATGCTTACAAGGCCTACCGAACCCAAATCATTCAATTAGGTCGCGAAAACGTGTCAAATCAACTCAATCATGTGTCTATATCTCTCATTTATTTCATAAAGTAAATTAAAGTAGAATTTAAAGAATAAATAATCATATTTTAGAAAATAATCAGTAAACTTAAGTAAAACATAACGGTAATACCTTCGAAATCCAAATAAATTGCCAATCGTGTTGTTTTCAAATTATCCAAACAGCGCCACCATTTGCACGAACGATAATCATAGACAACAAACAAAATCATATCTACCGCAACAATTACTTCCCCTGACCAGCGTTATTTTTGATTTAAAATACCAATTTATTAATTAATATTATACATAAAGAACTAAAAAATAAAACAACAAACAACAAAACCTATTAACTAATATTTAAAGCGTTAATAGAAAGTGAAAAATTATTTCCAACTTTATTTGTTTAAGCGCTATTTTTGAAAATACGGAAAAAGATTGAAAGGCAAATTTTCCTGACAAAAATCACTTACAGACTAATTCATTAAAGGAATAATATCACAAAATTAGTGGTATTAAAGTTTATATAATGATTAAACTAAATGTAAAACTTCGACCATAAACAACGTTGAATCAACGTTGTATATACATTGGCAATATATCCGTATGGTCGTCGATAGTTGAATATTGGTTGAACAACGTCACGACCATATTTCAACGTTGTTTCAACGTTGAAACAACGTCGAGTGCCTGCTGGGAATTAAATATGTGAATTCATGAAGATGAAATCGGGAATTCATGAAGTCGAAATGGCCCTATCGGTCTTTCGTACAAAACAGTAGCCACTAGAGTGTTAACAAGATTTTTCTAATTTTAGCTCCTGTGACCTAGTTTTCCATCCGAGATGATCCATGTTCAAACTCATCCGAGCAATTATCTAGACAAGCATCCTGACCAAGTTTGATGACAATTGAGTCAAAAATGTGACAATTAGAGTGTTAACAATGTTTTTTTCCATATTTGGGCAGTATGACCTAGTTTTTAACCCCTTATGACCAATATTCGAACTAGACCTAGAAATAAACAAAACAAAACTTTCAGACCAATTTCCAGAATATTTGGATCAAAACCGTAACCACTAGAGTGTAAACAAGATTTTTCTATTTTTAGCTCCTGTGACTTAGTTTTCAATCCGAGATGACCCATGTTCGAGCTCATCCGAGCAATTACCTAGACAAAAATCCTAACAAAGTTGTATGATGATTAAGGCAACAATGTGACCGATAGAGTGTTAATGTACAAATGTGGACACACGACGGACGACAGACATTCAACGGTCCTTAAAAAGCTCACCTTGAGAAGGCTCAGATGAGCTAAAAAGGAATATTAGCCCTTGTACTGCAAAAACGCTTTTGGAAAATTGAGATTTAACATATGGTTGCACTTTATCATTGCGTTGTGAATATCATAGATAAAGAATAGAAAAAGTCAAAGTCAACCCACATTAATCCTCTATAGTAAACTGTAGTATTTACTTCAGCAGCCCTGTGTTTGTTTAAACACTTGGCTCACGTGACTACATTGTCGAAAAGTGTAGATGCATTGTAATTGGCATGTATAAGTGTTCCATTGTCTTTTCCATGAGCAACAGGGACCATGTTCAAGCTACATTTTGTTATTTCTAAAATTGGCCTGAAACAAAATTTTGGATGCTACTTTAGATTCTTATCTTTTATGCCCAAAGGTTAAAGTCACAGGATCTTTAAATGTCTGAATGGTTTCCGCTAATTATCTTAAAAACTGTTTGCAACAAAATCTTCATATTTCACATATTGATTTGTAATAACTAGTAGATGACTTATAATGAGTTTGGGGTCACTAAGTCAAAAGTCAAGGTCACAGGATCATTAAATGTCAGAATTGTTTCGCTTATTATCTTGGAAACAATTTACTTTGCATACTGCTTGATAATAACTATTATATGACCCCTATTGATTTTAGGGTCACTAGGTCAAAGGTCAAGCTCACAGGGTCTTAAATCTTAGAATGTTGTATGCTCATTATCGTGAAAGCTATTTATCACAAAGTCTTCATATTTCACATAAATCGGCCATAACTATTAGATGACCCTTGTTAATTTTGGGGTCACTATGTCAAAGGTCAAGGTCACAGGGGCCTTAAATGTTAGAATGTTGTCTGCTCGTTATCGTAAAAGCTATTTGTTACAAAGTCTTCAATTTTCACATAGTGATTGGTCATAAGTAGTCGATGACCCATATTAATTTTGAGGTCACTTGTTCAAACATCAATGTCACAGGGGCCTTAAATGTCAGAATGGTTACCACTTATTATCTTGAAAACTATTTATCACAAAGACTTCATATTTTACATACTGTTTGGTCATAACTTGTAGGTGACCTCTATTGATTTTAGGGTCACAGGTCAATGTCAAAGGGGCATTGAATGTTACTTAGGTTTCCGCTCATTATCTTAAAAGCAATTTATCACAAAGTCTTCAATTTTCACATAGTGATTGGTCATTATTAGTAGATGATCCCAATTTATTTTGGCATTACTAGTTCAAAGGTCAAGGTCAACAGTGTCTTAAATATCAGAATAGTTTCCCCTTCTCATTTTGATAACTATTTATCACAAAGCCTTCATATTTCACATATTGATAGGTCATAACTAGTAGATGACCCTTATTGATTTTGGGGTCACTAGGTCACTCAAATCTTAAGGTCACAGGATCTTTAAATGTCAGAATGGATTCTGCTGATTATCTTAAAAACTATTCGAATAACAAAGTCTTTATATTTCACATAGTGATTTGTAATAACTAGTAGATGACCATTATTGATTTTGGGGTCACTAAGTCAAAGGTCAAGGCCACAGGATCCTTAAATGTTAGAATAGTTTCCGCTTATTATCTTTGAAACAATTTAACACAAAGTCTTCATATTTCACATAAATTGGTAATAACTATTAGATGACCCCTATTAATTTTGGGGTCACTAGGTCAAAGGTCAAGGCCACAGGGGCCTTAATTGTTAGAATGTTGTCTGCTCATTATCTTGAAAGCTATTTATCACAAAGTCTTCATATTTCACATATTTAATAGCCATATGTAATATATGACACCTATAGATTTGGGGATCACTAGTTTAAAGGTAAAGGTCACAGGGGCCTTAAATGCGAATATTGTTTCCACTTATTATCTTGAAAACTTTTTATCGCAATCTACATATTACACATATTGATTAGTCATAATGGGATCACTAGTTCAAAGGTCAAGGTATTTATATTTCACATAATAATAATTGATAATAACTAGTAGGTTATTATTTTTCTTTTTTCCATAACTGAACACTTCCATGTACCCATTTATGGCAAGTTTCTATAACAAAATTACCAATGTGAGTCAATGGCTAGATAAGGGGGCATATGTGTCGTTTGACATTTAATGTTAATAATTTGCTTTAACAATAAAGTAAAATTTGATTCTTTAAACATGAATAAAATCCAATATTGCTTCTTTTTAGATGTGTGAGAAAATGTTTAATGAAATGTCTAATAAAAGGACCATTAATTTCCCAAAATGTAAACATTTTTTTATCTTTATACTTTTTGAGATCTGTTTCAGTTTCAGAAAAGTTACTCATTGGCCATTCAGTTTCGCTATCTTTTAACTCTTTTGTCTTTTGTCAGTTAGTAAATTTACACAGGGTGAGTGATCACGTGACACATGTAAACGGTAACATTGGGTCACCGATAATGGGCGTCCTGTTACTTTCCCCGTTATGCTTGCATAAATTTTTCTGTAATATTTGGATGAAAAGATGCGGTAATATTGTGTTACAAATTTTTGAAAGCTAATCTTAATAAGCACAAATATGTACCATTAAAAGCGGTAACTGAAAAACCAAATACCTTTAAAATCATGGATGTGGCCTTTAGCGGTGACCAATGTTGCTGAAACAAATGTTATCACACATCCCGTTAAAGTGGTTTGGTATTCTTGTGTGGAAGTCAAAATACCACTGTTCACATTTTGCTTTCTTTTAAGTAAAGCGCTATTTTCGTCACGTCATAACATCTTACATGTTCGAAATTCATTATTAGGACATTCTTACTTTAAGAACAAAACATTTCTATGGGTTTATATGCCTTTTAAATAACTTTTAAGGGATCATGGGTTTGAGCCCTAATCGGGTCATGATCATGTTTCTTCATATGACACCAGTCGTCCTGGTTGGCTCGGGGAAGCGGACTCGAAAAAAATTAATAAAAGCTGCAAGAACTTAAACCAATTAACTTTTTTGATTACTTTGTAATTGGAAATACTAAATATTTAAAAAAAAAATTATGTACATACAAAATTTGTGATTAAATATAAAACATATCTGCTTCAGTTAAATCCATATTTTGAACCACATTTTCAGAAATTCCAAACAAGAAAACATCACATACTCAAATGCAAGCAAACAAACAAAAGATCAACAACAAAAATTGTGTCCACTTGAACGAATGAGAAAAAGGTAGATACGACAGAAACTTTATGAATGGTTTCTGTAATGTGATAACATGCATAGACACTAAATGGCAAAAAAAATTCTACCCTTTGTTACCAGCTATCCGCACTTTTATCTGTAACAGACACGCATATCAAATCAATAAATCAATTTTTAAAAATACGCGCACACGCAAGGAACCTCTCCCCCCCTCACCCTCCCCTCCCTCTTGAACTCGAACTCGAACTGTCTATCCCGCAAACTGTCAGCGACAAATACAATTTCAAGAGCGCTAGTGGAAAAAAATGTTTCTGCCATCAAGTGCTTATAATTACATGTTAATCTATTATTTTAGTATACTTCAAATTATCTTTTGCAGGAAAACTCAGAAAACGACTGTAAGCTACTTTGCATCACAACGCTGATATGTAGTACTTTCATTTACAATACAAAAGGAGTCATCGACAGGGATACATTGGATAAACTAGGGTAATGTTGTTATTTTGCTCCCCCGAAAGGATGGTCTTGTAGAGTCCCATTTGACCAATCTATTTATATACTTATCCAGTTGACAATCAGGGATGAGTGATTTTCCTTTTGCTTGGTTAATACGTTGATTTTAACACAGTTTTGTTGATATATCGGCAGTCGGTCCGTCCGCCTGACCGACTTTCCTGGCAACTTACCAGTTATTACTAATTTTCTACATCTGACCGGTTATTAAAACTACATGATTTTCAAATCTGCGGTTAGAATCAAATGACCA